TGTCCATTTCATCCGTTGGCGTGGTTTTCCAGCCTTTGTGGTCTGTGGATGCATTGCCACAGAAACACCAAGGCTAGGTTGATTCCTCACATCTGTTGAGGGCATTGCAGTAGCCATGCTTGGGCCGATGCTGCTTTCACCACCGGTAACCAAGGGAGACTGTGGCCTATTTTTCGAACATGAGCCTCTGCCTAACCCATAAATGCGGACCTTGTTAACCCGGGTGACATCTGAGCCGGTATCACACTTTGATCTGATTACTACCATGATAATTATCTCCACAGAATGTGGGTGTGGTCACTCTTAGCTTCATTTCTCCCCAAAGACCTTACTGGCATGGGTGTCCCTACCAGGAGCTTGTGCTCCAGCCTGCATTGCTTTATGGTTCAGTAAAATTACTGGGCTCTCCCACGACGACTAGGTGGTGACCACGAGATAATAATAATAACTATTAATTAACAAAAAATAGTGTTCTGTATATATATCTGCATTCTGTTTGCTTAATAAATTACATCACTTATGTGGCATTTGGCATATTGTACAAATATATGTAAATCTCAGATAATTTGAAATCACAATTATTTCATCTCTTGAATTTCAAACTAACAAGGATTTCTTGTAGTTCTTTTAACTTTAAATGCACAGTGTCTGATGCATCCAAAACACTAAAACAATGCTTCTGGATTATCCAAACTTCATGGTTCCATCAAGTTTCAATGATTGAGTTTCCATCACATATGCACTATGCAATGCAATGACAAATGCATATTTTTATCTGTAGATGTATATTTGATTCTATAAAATGTGATTTTTCAAAATATTTGACATTTTACATATTATATTAAATTTACCTCTTCTATCATACACAATGCCCAATTCAGCAATATTGATAAGCCATTAAAATTCATAAACAATCATATAATCCATATAAGAATTTTCATGGCTCATTAATACCGCAATCTTAGAAATATTAAAAAATGTTTTGTATGTATCTTAAATACATTCAAAATAAATTTCGGTTTTGTGAATTTTTTCACAAGATTATGTCTTGTTTATAAAATCATACTGCTGTTTTATGTTACCAGCATAGAGATATGAAGGAGTACATGTTGAGAGTTGATATTTGGCACAGAGTATTAGGTGCCCAAATCATTTGCGCATAAAAAATCCAGACTTGTAGGTAGTCAGGGGACCGAGAACCAAGTCAAATTAAAATCCAAAATAGCTACCCTCTTCTACAAACAGGCAAAACAGGCATCTCACCCCACCGAAGTCAGTTGGGGGGAGAGTACCACCCACAGTCATTCTAAGAAGTGAACTCTGACCTTAGGACTGAACATCTATGTTAAATAAAATTTGTAATCTAATTTTGTAAATTTGGGAGTGCTTCAAATATGGCGTTAAAATGGTTTTATGTCGTTACAAGTGGGTTTTTTTAAACATTATCTAGTATAGTAAAATCGTGGGACCAATAAAAATTTGACGTTATATTAGGGTCATCGTTACATCCGACGACATTACAATCAGGTTAAATTGTATATTATTTGTGCAAAATAAAATAATAATTTCGGATGATACAATAGCCATGATTTTTTTTTTCAAAAACGGGAAATTTTCGTTATGCATCGACAAAAATTCAACCCGGGCCGACATGCAACAGAAAGAAATTTCGAAATTGGATAGGTTAATTTCATTGAAAATGCATCATGGCCAGCGAAGTTTGAATGATCATGCCCAAAAGCAGCGATACCAAAGAAGATTGGAGAATGAGAACGAGACCTGCCTTGAGTGTCAAAGTGATTCCACTTAGTAGTGAGTCTCTGAGACATAGTCTTGTCCCAAATATGGTTTTGCCGTTTTACTTGTTTCACTTACTATAGATATTAAAATTAAGAAATTTTGACTTAATCTATTTTATCTATTCATATAATCAAAAGGCAAAATTTATCTTGTACAAAACTGATAAATTAATTAAAAGAGTATTTCATCTACCAATAATATTTTTGAAAAAACTTATATTTACCCAGCATCTATATTTACTGTATGCATCTTCTTCATCATAAGTTATTAAATATGATTTTAAATTTTCTTTCCAGAAACCAATGCATTTCATTTTGTAGTCAGGTTCACCTGAATTATACAACTATCGTAAATGTCATAAGTATATGCAAACTAATGAAACATGAAAAATACTCACTGTAAATGTCTACAGGTCGACCAAAATAATCCACGGAAATACAGTAGTCTGCATCTATCGTAATGATTTTTTGATCTTTGTCACAAACAGAAAAATCTGAAATATTTTCTCTACAGTAAACATTTGGTCGTGGTATGTCTGTAACTCCACCTCGTATTCTTGTTTGAAACAAGATATCTCCTCTCTGTTCAAATTTAAATTTTCCAGCAATTGGACATTTTAATGAAACAGGATCTTTTGCTAAGAAAAATAAATTATTTGTCAGTATTTGAGCTTTATGTCAAAATATTTTGAATAATGAAAAAATTTTCTTACCAATAAATAAATCATACTTCCAGTTTGGTTTATTTGGAAACATTGTCCAGGAACAAACAGTTGAAAATTCATCCCTTATCATTGCTTTAGCTAAACAACAGTAGAGATTTTTAAATAAAATAAAATAAAATTATAATAAAACTTTTACACTCACCCCTTCTGTAGCGTATAATGTTGTGATGACGAGGAACANACATTACAATCAGGTTAAATTGTATATTATTTGTGCAAAATAAAATAATAATTTCGGATGATATTGCCATGATTTTTTTTTTCAAAAACGGGAAATTTTCGTTATGCATCGACAAAAATTCAACCCGGGCCGACATGCAACAGAAAGAAATTTCGAAATTGGATAGGTTAATTTCATTGAAAATGCATCATGGCCAGCGAAGTTTGAATGATCATGCCCAAAAGCAGCGATACCAAAGAAGATTGGAGAATGAGAACGAGACCTGCCTTGAGTGTCAAAGTGATTCCACTTAGTAGTGAGTCTCTGAGACATAGTCTTGTCCCAAATATGGTTTTGCCGTTTTACTTGTTTCACTTACTATAGATATTAAAATTAAGAAATTTTGACTTAATCTATTTTATCTATTCATATAATCAAAAGGCAAAATTTATCTTGTACAAAACTGATAAATTAATTAAAAGAGTATTTCATCTACCAATAATATTTTTGAAAAAACTTATATTTACCCAGCATCTATATTTACTGTATGCATCTTCTTCATCATAAGTTATTAAATATGATTTTAAATTTTCTTTCCAGAAACCAATGCATTTCATTTTGTAGTCAGGTTCACCTGAATTATACAACTATCGTAAATGTCATAAGTATATGCAAACTAATGAAACATGAAAAATACTCACTGTAAATGTCTACAGGTCGACCAAAATAATCCACGGAAATACAGTAGTCTGCATCTATCGTAATGATTTTTTGATCTTTGTCACAAACAGAAAAATCTGAAATATTTTCTCTACAGTAAACATTTGGTCGTGGTATGTCTGTAACTCCACCTCGTATTCTTGTTTGAAACAAGATATCTCCTCTCTGTTCAAATTTAAATTTTCCAGCAATTGGACATTTTAATGAAACAGGATCTTTTGCTAAGAAAAATAAATTATTTGTCAGTATTTGAGCTTTATGTCAAAATATTTTGAATAATGAAAAAATTTTCTTACCAATAAATAAATCATACTTCCAGTTTGGTTTATTTGGAAACATTGTCCAGGAACAAACAGTTGAAAATTCATCCCTTATCATTGCTTTAGCTAAACAACAGTAGAGATTTTTAAATAAAATAAAATAAAATTATAATAAAACTTTTACACTCACCCCTTCTGTAGCGTATAATGTTGTGATGACGAGGAACAAAATCAAAGCAGATAAAATCTTTTTGACTGAAAGTAAAAAACACTTTATATTTCCATCTTTTATTCATTTTTATCCCCAAATAAATTTATGTTTATAAATATTCTTTTTATAAACTGCTTTACACTTGAGAATCTTATAAGTCCAGTAATAACACTTTAATGGAAAACTAATGTTTTTGACCATACCCCAGTCTTCCTCAGGTTTTTAAAACCAGTAAGACTCAAACTTGGAATACAAAGAACAATATTTACAAATTATTTTTAAAAAACCTATGGAATGTATGGAACAACATGTTCAAAAATTATTTTAAAATCTATGGAACAATCTAAGCACATGTATAAAACTTTTATCCATGCATGTTACCATGGCAATAGAACTATATCAACACCATAAACAGTGAATAATACGATGTAAATAAAGATACAGAAAAAGGTTGCTAACTGCTGGTGTTGCCTGTTTTTTCATAACAGTACTGTACCTCCATGCGTATGAAACATTAATGGTGTCATTTGTGTCAATCCAGTTGCCATGTAAGCCAGCTTTGTAAATTTCTAATGCCTCAAGGTTTCAAAGGTGTTCAATTTGATGTGACAATCTGACCAGTTTGGCTTTATAGAGGTCAGCCCGTATGTTGGGGACTGTGGCATAGGTGGATAGGGTGGTGGTGTGCCTTTTGTTAGTGATATCATATCTGTGCTCTTGTAATCTTTTACTTAGAGAATGCTTTGTGGACCCAATGTATACAAAATTCCTTTAAAATCTGTTGTCTCTGAGGGAAACCATGTATACACCAAGTGTCCAATTTGTCAATCCTGTCATTGCCGTTGCACAATAGCCCATATACTGTGTTGGGTCTCCTATAGACAATCTTTGTGTTTGTACTGGTAGCAATTTCTTTGTAGATGGAGTTTAGATGTTGGATGTATTACACCACTGCGTGCAATTGGTTATTATTGTCATCTTGGGTTCCATTGGGCGCTACCTGTGTGTTAGATATGTTAAGTGCAGCTAGTTGTTTGGAGTATGGGTGCGATAAGTTGTGTATCAGACCTCTACTATACCCGTGCCTTACAGCTGTGTTCTCAATGCATTTCAACTCTGCCATGGTTTCCTCCCATCTGGTATGGTGCGTGTATGCCCTTCTCATTAGTGCAAGGAAGGCCATGATCTTATAAGAGAAAGGGTCTGCAGAGTTTGCAGGGATAAATAATGGTATGTAGCACGGTTTATAATAGATGCTCATTTCCACCCAAATGTTGTCAAGGCAAATGTTGATATCAAGGAAATGAGCATTTGTGCTACTCTTCTGATTTAGCATGATGGTAAGACCATATTGGTTGTCATTCATGGAACTCACAAAATCATTTATGTCTGGCTCAACCTTCCATAGAATAAAAAGGTCATCAACATACCTCTTGTAAACTAGAATGTTTGATAGGAACAGAGGTATGACTTTTTGCTCCAGCTGTTGAACTACTAACTCATATAAATTCCTGAGAGGGAGCTGCCCATAGGTACACTCTGTTTTTGTAAGTATGTATTCTTATTAAAGCAGAAGAAAGAGGTATAATACAATAGATGTGCTAGCTCCAATACATGTTTACATTGCACATTCACTCCGCGGTTGCTTAGTAATAGACCTCTAAGCACACAGAAGCATGGTTGTATTTTGATTGAGGGGTATAGGGAGATGAAATCAAAGATGGTAATATGTGCTTCATCAGTTATCCTAATTTGCTGAAAGATATCTATTAGATCAGTGGAATTCTTGACATTCCAAGGATACCCATTCAAGCATTCAGATATAAAGTTGTGTACTGCACATAACAGCCTAGTAGGATACCTAGCTTCATCTAGAATGGGTCTCAGGTCACCTGATACACCTAGGCTATGTGCATTTTTGCAAACGCAAATAGCCTAGGTGTATCAGGTGAGGCAACCACTGTCCTGTTTAACTTCCACGCCCTGGCCAAGGGAGTTTGCATGAATTGTTTCACTCGTGCTTGTAATCTGTTTAGGTACACTTCCTTGACGGATTAAAAATAATTTGTAAATACTGTTCTTTGCATTCCAAGTTAGAATTTTACTGGTTTTAAAAACCTGAGGAAGACTGGTCTATGGTCAAAAATGTTAGTTTTCCATTAAAGTGTTATTACTGGACTTTTAAGGTTCTCGAGTGTAAAGTATCAATATATGCATTCCAGTAATTATCTAAGAAGTTGTTTTACTTTATAAACTGCTTTTAAAAATTAATGTTACCATCCATTTATTCCAAGTCTTGCCAATAAATAACGACTATCCCTTCTTTCATGGCAGATGTAAACTTGTTCTTTTTCTCTTCCCTGGTCGGGTTTCCAACGTTCCACAATATGGGTTTCATTAATAGTTACTTCTGCATCAAAATTTGCTGTGTTAATCCAAACACCTTTATAATTGTCAGGGAGTTTACATTTTGGTGGAATGGATTCAGACTTCACTGAAATTAAATTAAAGATTTGTATCTCCTTATTTATATATTATTATAAGTGATCTGCAAACTATAGCAAATTTAACTGAGAAAATAAATAGTTATAGCATCATACTTGATAGAATGTACAATACTGTAATTAACAATAGAAACTAAGAATAAGAGAAGAGGATTTTGGTATATAACAGTAAAAACAAAGATGTTATATGGATTCTAAAATATTTAAAAAATTATATTAAAATATAGTAAACCAGTCCAAAATAGAACTTGAATAAAATGGAAACTTGCTTAATGGAGAAAACTTTGGAACATAATGATTTTCTATGTTAATTTACCTATAAATCAGAAACCTGTCTAACATGAAATGGATGATTTTGGTAAGAAAAACCTACTTTACCCTGGATAAAGCAGAAAATTAAGATTCTGTTTGTAGACAAAATCATGTTCAGTTATAATAGTCACTGCACTGCCATCAAACCTTTTCAGAAAAATAACACAGTTTTTGTTAGAATTAATTGGGCAGAATTAAATCCTTTTAAAAATAGAGATCTTTCAAGAATCAAAATAAGTTTCTAAGAATAGAGTTTTTGAAAGAAAGCAATAAATACAATTTGTGAAAACAATGAGAATAAGAGAATGCTGCCAATCTGCTTTGTACAGAAGTAACTAACTAAAAAGTATGGAGTATTTGAAAAAAGATGTTACCATTATTGGCAATTACAGGAATTGAAGTTAATGATTAGAATATTAAAATGTCTCAAAAAGCCAGATCACAAAATAACATGGTCTCTGCATTACTGTAATGTAATTAGAATTTCTGATAGAAGAATGAGACATGTTTTGTGTTTTTTTTTAACTCTCCATCCTGTGGACACTAAGGCAACCTTTTAATCCTACTTTATCATGAGTTTCATCAAGCTCACAGGAGTGACTATGAAGAAGGATGAACCCTGAAGGAAGGCATATCCATAAAAAATACTTGGGAAGTTCGCCTCTCAAATTCAATCCAGGTCCTTCAGAACAATGAGTTGATGCCTGAACTATCTTGACCACCCAAAGTTCCAAAGAATGAGAGACTAATTTTTGGTTCTCAAAGTGGCTTGTTCAGGCTTGCAGGATTCTACTCAAATATTTGTTTTAAATTCCATGACTTTTCCTGACCAACTTTGCACAAATTCCCTGAATCTCATGTCCCTTATAGTATGGCACATTAACAAAATAAAACAGCATTTGACTTACTATCCATATGTGCTATTCCTTCTGCAAATTTTAATTACCATATTTACTTGGGTATAAGACAATCTCGCATATAGGATGAGGTGTGACTTTAGAGATCAAAATAAAGAAAATTAAATTTATTTATACAATTCTAATTTTATTTTGTTTAATCACAAAATATTATCAAATGCACATATTAAGGCAAACAACCATGTTTGCCTTAATATGTGATGAATGGAAAACAAAACCAAAATATTATAGTGCACATGACCGGAAAAAATTTATTTTTAATTATTCAGAATGTGCTAATATTCATTAAAAATTTTATATTAGTTAAATTGTTATAACTACATTTATAATCACTGCTAAGTGACCTGTATTTCATTAATGTTTTATAAATAACGAGAAACTATTTTCTGAGAATGAATGAGATGCAACATGGTTTTATTTGATGGATGTAGGATTAAACCAATAAACAAATGGTGTGTGTCTTAATTTGTTTACAGTAGGTGTCAACTTACAATAAATAGATTGTAGACCTATAAAGTATACACAGTTCACAGAAATGATTGCAAAAATGTAAAGAATCCTTCGTTCATGCATATAGGACAATCTAAGTTTTTGAAGCAGTGAAAAATGAATAAAAACCTCATCTTGTATGCAAGTAAATATGGTAGTTATTTTTTCTAATTAACAGTTATATATTTTTTTATAATTGCCAAATTATTAAAACTAAAAATAAAATGTTTTATTAAATTAAAGTAGTTTATTCTGTTATTAATTATAATTCACAACCATAAATCTACATTGCTTGAAAAAAAAAATAAGAAAAGCAATTATTTATTATTCATTGACAAATCCTTTATAATCCATGTACTGTACAGTGGAACCTCGCTTAACGATCATCTCTCATAATGAGTAATTCACATAACAAGCAAATTGTAAAAAAATGACTCACTTAACAAGTGACGTTTCACATTATGAGTAACAAGGAGAGGGGAAGTCCCAGATTGTGCACATACTACATCAGTCTGTATTTAGCACTTGTTTGGCTAGCATCTTTGTGTCACTTGTGATCACACATTTTTCCAAACTTGTGTTCAGACATATTACATACTAGCAGATGAGCCCAGCATTGCTCAGGCAAAAAGTAGCGAGAGCAAAGATTAAGATTATTAGATTATAGACGATCTTACCCATTTTCACTGAGAGCAAGGATTAGGTCTCCCCTCTTCCGAGACTAATTAAAGAATTTTTAGATGTGTCTAAAGATATGTTCCTGCAAAAATGCAAAAAACTGCATCTAAAATAGTACAGTAAAGCAAGTTCTTAAGGGTAATCCTTAACCCTCTCCCTCTTCCCTGCAGTGATTTCTAAAAATCCCTTCTTAGGGTGCACTCTCATGACGTACTGCGTACTAAATTGCAACTTTCAACTCCTAACCATTTGGGCTCTGCGCTTATTATTATTAATTAATATCAACCCATCGCGATTATATTATATAAACATCAACAACCATAGCCTGTTACAATAAACACGTCAAACAATATGCCAAATTCTTGGGCTATGTAAAGGCTATAATTAAATATTAAAAATTACTGTATTTCGATTATTTTTCTTTTCTGCAAATTGAATTTACATTCCAGGTTGGTTCATTCCGAGACAGAAGAAATGATGATGATGATTCAAGGTCCTTAACAATGTACAAGGGAGGTTTTTTTCAAGCCTCCAATGGTCCATAATATTTTATGGACCATTGGAGGCTTGAAAAAAACCTCCCTTGTACATTGTTAAGGACCTTGAATCATCATCATCATTTCTGTGTAAGTGTAAGACAAGTGTAAATAACAAAATGAATTTAATACCAAAAGTTAGGTACAAATATGGTTACTTTTTGACATAATCACCGTGAAGATTGAGGAACTTGTCATATCTGTGGATGATCTTTTCCATTCCCTTGTCATAGAATGACAAGGATTTAGATAAGAAAGTTCTAGAAGGAAATAGAACAATAGGACAAAGGGTAGAAAGAAGAGATTAAACTAAACTTAAATTAATATTTACAAAAATATAGCATACACAGGTTCCACTGTACAAAAGTATATACTTATTAAACTTACCTCATAATAAATTTCCTGAACTTTATAAAATAATAAATTGGAAAAAAATCAGAAATTGTTTTGTTACACAGAATTATTAAAATAAAAAATGATAAATAATTTTAATTTAAATGGTATTATTTATCATTTTTTGAACTTTGTAAATTTTTGGGAAAATTTTGTGTATGCTTGGGAAAATTTTGGATCCTAAAAATGGACCTCTTTTCATAAGTTGTATTGCACCATATTACTTCTTATTGCCTGCAGATGACTACATTTAGTCAAGCATAATGACAGCAAAAATTCAACAGGACAGCCAAGGAGGTAAATTCCCTGACTTTTTCACAATTTTTGACATATTTCCTATCTTTCCTTGACTTTTTCTGAAAACTAATGAAAATCCCTGACTTTTCTTAGCTTTCCAGGTGTGTAGGAACCCTGACCATAGTATGAATTCAGAAGGATCACATTTGAGAACTCTTTGTATTCAAATACACAGAGGAACAACAAGAACTTTTTAGAATGGAATATTTCTCAATTTTGCATTTGAATAGGCCCATCTTCAGATAGAATTAGTTTAACTTGGCTGAAATTTAACAATAAAATGTTTCTTATATACGTATAAAAATGATTTTACTATAAAAATGAATGTAACTGTATAACATTTATCTGGTATTATTTGAAGATTTAAAATTATTAAACCTTTTCAAAATGGAAACAAATATACAGTACAATGCAATTCCTGTTTACACAGTGTATACACAGATTTCAGTGTATTAAAAAAAATTCTTCTTCATAAAAGAAATTCATAAAGGTCTCACTCAAAAAAGGTTTCACATCAAAAACTGAAATTTTTTAAAATCAGACTATTTTGATAGAGGAGAAAGTTTCTTTATCTGTTTAGCTAAAATTTTAGTTCAAATAAAAAATATGGATACGAAAATTAACNAGATATAGAAAATTCTTTAAGAAAAATAAATACACCAGATTGGATAATTAAATTATGCCTAATTGTAATGAAAAATAATTATTTTCAGTACGATAAGAAATTCTACACCCAAACAGAAGGAATACCTATGGGTACATGTATAGGTCCAAAATTGGCCGAAATAACAATGATACAAATAAATGAAAAGATCAAAAATATAGAAGGTATTGAATTTTACAGCAGGTATGTGGATGATTGCATAATAATTTTTGTTAAAACGAAAACAAATGAAAATATAATCATAAATAAGACCAATAAGATAAAAGAGAATATTAAATTTGAGTTAGAATAGTATAGCAACAGAATAGTATAAATTATTTAGATATAACCATAGAAAGAAAAAATAATAGATTAATTTACAAGAAATATGTTAAACCAATACAAATACCCAAAATAATCAACTATAAATCTGCAATTCCGGTCAGCATGAAATATAATATATTTAAAATGTATGTGACTAAAATAAGACAAAGAACAAGTGAAATAGAAATACAAAAACAAGAAGAAGAAGAAATAATTAAAATGTTTATTCTAAACGACTACCCAAAATGTATAATAAAAAAATGGATTAAGGAAATAGATGACGACAAACAACCAAAATTAATAGATAAAGAGAAAAAATTTATTAAATTAAAATATGTCCCAAAACTATTTGAAAGAATTAAAAGTGTAATTAAAAATAAAATCAACTTAATACCGGAAAA